TGTCTTTTTTACACATATCTTGTGTGTTTCCATACGAGTGTCCTAACTCCAGCCAAGAGATTATCATTTTTCATATTCACACAGGTAACATAGTCACTTTTCACATCATGTAGAACTGTTTAGTATACAATTATTGTGTTCAAAGGGCTACTTTAATCAATGGCAAAACATTTTGATTACTTTTATGTATATATTTCAAACTGTACTTCTTGTAAGAAGAATCATGGTTTTTATTCTGATTCCAAAAACAGCATAATTTTTTTTCCTTTCTTAATTATTATTATAATTATTATTATTTTGAGGGAGGAGGGCATCTTTTACCACTATTCCAGATGATGATACCTCCTGTGTATCCAAGTCACAGCTCAAATGATTTAATGAATGTGTTTTACAATCCATTGAGATCTATGAGACCACATTATCCAGTAACATTTAAAAGATGCTCAACCTTTACCATGTGCACCTCTCAATTTCCTGTTCAAATTTTTGGGGAAGCTGTTAAATGCATTATTACGCAGGAGTAATATCTTAAAACTTAACCTGACAGACTGAGCTGACTTAGCATCGATTCATTGAAAATTGAAAATCTTGCCTTCCTCCTTACTTTCTAGCACCATTTGTGCAGCCTTCAAGCGTGAAATTGTTGCAAGTCAATAAGGAATTTCAAAATAAATTAATAATCAAATAAACAAACAAAATAATCAAAATAATAAATTATTTTATAACAATTTTGATCTGCATTTATATCATAATATATCTATCTATCTATGCTTTATGAGGCGTGCATCAGTACTTTCTTAATTTCTTTTCTTCAGGAAGAGAATTGGTAAAACATTCAGTCTACACCAAGTATAACCTATCACCTTCATCTTCCGCTATTTACTTTCCAACCTCAACCTCATCAACATCTATCTTGAGAAGATTTCAGTGCACCTGGAAGATATTCCAACTCAAACTGTGCAAAAATGTCCTCTATATCACACCATAATGCAAACAAACTGGCAATGCTTCTTTAATGGAACTAATCAAAGAGTGAAGAAAAAAAAAAAAAACCTTTTCCTGATTGGGTCTATCTGTTAACCTATCTTAACATCACTGCTACCTTTAAATGTCAAGCTTTGTACGAGTTAATGAAATGCAGAGAAGGCTGACACTACAATTATCATCAGACACATTCTATGGTGTGACTAGCAATGGAAGTTAACAAGAAAGTACAGGGCATCTCTAATGTTGGTAGAAATAGCTACACCAGATAAACAGGGTATCTTTTCAGCATGAACACAAAGGAAATATCACTATTTATCCCTAAGAGTATCATAATTTTGGTCCAAATGATATTTACCTTGTTTTATCCCATATAAAATATGTATTTATTGATATTATATTTAAATTCACTTCTAACCAGTAAAATGAAGATATTGTGGGTATAAGAGGGCATTCACACGCCTCCCCACACGTCGTCCCTGCGGGGGTACAGTCATTAAATTTCGGCTCCATTGGGACTACACATGGGGAGGGGTGTGAGAGGCGGAGAGACTATTAAAAGATTAGGCGGTTTTTCTTTCATGTATGTCCGCCATATTTAGTTCCAGGATTTGTAAAGCCTGGCTCAACTCGTTGTGAATGCGATCTAACAGATTCGCAGACTAAATATGGATGACTCACTTAAAAGCACTGCAGACTAATCCCCTGATGGCCTTCCTGTCTCCACATATGCTGTCCCTGCAGGAGCCCCGCAGTAAAACCCCGGAACCCAGATTTAATCCATGAAATGGCGCAAGTGGAGGCTGGGAGACCATCAGGGGATTAAGCAGCACTGCTTCTAAGTGGGGTCAGCCATATTTAGTCTGCGGATCATTAAGTCTGAGTGTGCTTATGTGCAGTTCAATGTAATCCAATCTGTTGTTTTTCATCTAGATTTTAACACCATGCTACCGAGATGAAAAACCTACACTCAGAAACATCTGAGATAAAGAAGAGCTAATAATTCATGTCTTCACACCTGTATTCCAACATCTCTGTAGACGTAAGCTCGAGAACGAATGCGCTCATCAGAACAAGGATTGGGTCATAGAATTCACATTTTGGGTTTCTGACAAAGACATACACCCAGAATAACTGTACTCTTTTCTACAGGGTCATCACCAACGCAGTTATACCCAAAATTAGACTGAGGATAGGCTTTTCACTAACCACCATAAAGCCAGAACCCACACGCTTCTGAAAAGGCTGCAAATAATCCAGATCAACTCAAAATAGCGCTAAGTGCTGTTAGAAAACAGACAAAATGAAAAGGTCTCAACAGGCAATTCTGGAAGAAAACCAATAGAGATTTTCATCAGCTGTGTAATGCACTTAAAGTTACAATAATAGATTATTCAAACAAAGGCTAAATTCAGAGTTACTTGGATTCCAATATTTTCATTTTTCCCAAGATGTTTTCTACCTCTAAATTTAGCTGCAGTTTGAAGAAACTATTATTATAACTTTTAATTTTTAAACAAACTACCTAAAATACACTAGAATTATTGAGCAATAATAAATAGGTAGACAGGAACATGTGTGTTATGAGGAGAGATTTCAAAATGTACGGGTCTTTAGCCATCTTTCTTATCACATTACCCTACTTCTCTAGTTTCCTAAAGGTCACAAAGCAAGAAGCCATATAAGATAAACCTTGAAACCTTTTATATGCCGCATGCTCGCACACTGGGGAAAAAAAGATACCCATTATCTTCTGTTGAGCTGTCTCTTTTCCATTGATCCAACTCATATGTGTAATATAGTCATCACCACTGTGAACAGAGAGGGAGAGAGAGAGAGAGAAAGGAAGAGAGAGAGGGAAGGGGGTTACCCAATCTGAATTGCAAGATTTTACTACTTGAACCAGCTCGTGTGGTTAATTTTTTTTTTNGGCGGATTTAGGCCGTCTTCTGGGTCTTCCAGAAGACGGTCAGATTTTCAAGTTTACATTGACAGTTATCTATTTTTTTCTGTCGGAAGACGGTCAAAAAATGGAGGATGGATCAATAAATATAATATGGAAGACTGTCAGAAAATATCTCTGGATCCGCCCCTGCACTGACTATAGTCATAGCATTAGCCAACCTGAGTGACTAGATGTTCCTACTTTAGCCAACTTGAGCAGTCTATAAATGCTACTACTTTAGTCAACTTGAATAACTAGATGTCATTACTTTTAGCCAAATAGAGGGGACTACATTACTCAACACAATTGACTACTGTACAGTCATAGAATTAGCCAACATGAGTGATTAGATCTGAAAATTTCAGTACAAATGCATATTTAAACCTTACTTTTCTAGGCAGCCAGTCAGCATCCCTTAAAAGCAACTGCCAACCATTTAAAACTAATCTGCCCAGATAGGCTTCCTCAATTAATACGAAATGTGAAATATGGAAATGCTTCAGACAAATAGAAGGCTTCACATAAATCTATTCAAACCCTTCCTCGTAATTTTCATTAGAGGCAATGCAGTCTGATTTTCAATTTAGAAGGAGAATGAATTCTTCCGTTCACTAATAAAAAGCTGCATATCTTTTTCCATAATTACAATGGATAAAATGCTGTTCTAAATCAAAAGAAAGATTCATCCAAGTTGTGCACATACCTTATTTTACTTGTTTCATTAAATGTAGCTTCTTTTTTCCAAGAAATGTAAATTCTGATACATGAAATGTCATGGACAATTGAACAATCATGTCTAAAATGTAAAATGCCAAGGTGTCTGTTTGGGCAATTTATTCTGTAGAATATAATTGAAGAACAACATAGACACAAAAATAATTTGTGAAAGATGAATCTGCAAAACTTGATTAATAGATGTTAAATTTTCCCAAAACATGACAAGAAAAGCTTCAATTCCGGAAATGACTATTTGACGTATTTCTCGACCCTTTAATCAGAAAAGAGCACATACAGATACACCAAGATCCCATTTGCAGCTATGTTCTTGTACTATTAATAGACATCATCCATGTTGCTCTTTAGGAGCAAGAACTACAAGTTTTCTCCTGCCCTAGAGAGTACTGTTTCTTTTTTTATGCTAGTAATTCAGCTCTTTCACAGATATTCTTATTACGCTTACCTTCACAGATGAAGTACTTACTGTTCATTTGTAAATCTGACTTGTTAGCTTTTTCTGGTGATACTTATTAGTTTTTGTGGATGTAAATAAATAATTTTTTTCAAATATTCAAAAATAATGTGGCAGTCAATGAGCGGTTTGTTCTAATTTTCACAGCAATGCCCTCCCCCCCCTACATTTTCTGTACTGATTATTAAGTGCTACGATACTGCCTAAGTATCATGTGCTTTCATCGTGCAACACCATTCAATACTAAATAATACAGCCATTAAGGGCCCTGTCATACACACAATATGCCCCAGGGAACAATCTTGGGAACAATAGCTTATTGCTTTGTTTATATTCCTGGTCTCTTGCCTTTGATAAAAAAAAAAAAAAAAAAAAAAGATCAACGCCATCTGGTGAAGGGTTGAAACCAAATGCCTTTAAGGCAAAAAGATACCTAATTTCTCTTGGAATGAATTAAACTAGCTTCAAGCAAGAGGACTGCAAATCTTATTTTGCTAACAGTAATTCACACCATAAACTAACATAAACTGATACTAAGTATGTTTAGTTTCTTCAAAAATGTTTTTTTTCTTACACGTAACATGAGAGATAAATAAATGGCTATCACACTAACAAAGGGATGGAGACTTACCAAAAAGTCAAATATATTAATGGTTTTATCTAGGGCTTAACATAACCCTATTTTCAGGCACTTATATAATTACCCTGTGGGCAAGTAATTTCAGGGGGAAGAAGGGGTGACAGTGAATGTAGAGAAACAGGGATGTGGAGAACACTAAAATACCAATAGATAATATCCGCAAAAAAGGTCAGTGAGGTAATTTTTGATCAGATTTTCTCTGAAATACAAGTGATCTACTAGCAAGTCCCTTGTGTTCATGGCCAAGTACGACTAAAAATACTGGTTGCCTAAGTGCAGAAATCACTTGCACCAGGCAAGTTAGGTCTATGGGTATGTCAAGCCTGGTAATCCATTAACAGAAACATAGACTGGGTTCCCACAAATTTAGATTGATCCAACTTAACTCCCTGGGGGTTCACACTAAATTGCTGACAGCTTCAGGGAGCCGAGCGCCCACTAAAGTTAATTACCTCCTTACAGCTTTTAGTAGGCGGGACAGACATTTAAGCCAATTAAGCTGACAGCAATCTAGTGAGACTCTCCAGGGGGATAGATCGATCTAAATATATGTGGGAATGGTCTCATAGAGACTTACCATAAAGTCAAATATACTGATGCCCAGCATCTGGAAGCTCAGACACATGTGTCCATGGTAGTCGAAGTAGTCAAAGAATTTCACACATAAGCTGAAATAAACAGGAAGATCAGATTTAAGAATTCTCATTTTTTGTGTGTAAAGAAAAAAGGTCACTCCGATAACACTGTCACACCTGATGCACTTTCAGAGCCAAAAAAACATAATTCAGCTATGTCACAGCTAATATACAGTCATGTTTCACACAATGTTAAACCTTGCCACGCCTTGCAAATCTTACACAATTTCCTAAATATCCAATTTACCAAACAATATCCAATCTAACATGTCTTATTAAGCACTTCACTATGTCACATCCAACACAATGTCACATCCAACACAATGTCACATCCAACACAATGTCACATCTAACACAATGTCACACCCACTACAATGTCACATCCAACACAATGTCACAACTAACACAATGTCACACCCACTACAATGTCACATCCAACACAATATCACAACCAACACAATGTCACATCTAACACAATGTCACACCCACTACAATGTCACAACCAACACAATGTCACTTCTGCCACAATATCACACCTAACACAGTATCACACCTAACACAATATCACACTTGGAATGATAAATCAACTTACAATGTCCCCTCAGGGTCTTTACTGTGCATGAATTCTAGGACATTAATCTCAAGTTTGGCCGCTTCTCGGTACTTCTCTACATTTTTAATAATTTTTAGGGCAGCAACCTCATTGTCTCTGAAAAAAGGGAGAAGGAAAATTATCTTAATTGACTCTAAAAGAAGATCAAATAGATGAAAATTATCCTTACAGCTTCTGAAATGGGATGGTGAAAATTATCCTTCCTGTTTTTTTAAAACGTGAGAAAATTAAAATAATACTACTTGCTTTTAAAAGACAAGAAAAAAGATGAAATTAAGCCTTACTGTAACTGAAAAAGAAGAGGGAGAAATGTGCTAAGTGTCTTTGGAAAATGAGGGAAAACAAAAATTATCCTCATTATTTCTAAAATTGAGCGGGGAAATGAAAATAATTGTCTTGGAAGGAAGAGAAATGGGAGTGTTTTTTTTATTCACATGTTACATCTTTCGGTTTAAAACTTATGTGAAACAAACCTCTGTTTTTATTCATATTTTACTCTTTCGAGCCCCCCACTGGGACGATAGTATGTGCCTACAGCATATTGAACATGCTCGGGTTCCGTTTTTATATCGTTTTGCTGCTTTCATGTATATAAATATAATATATAAATACACCACACCTGTTACTGAGCCTCATACCTGAGATTTATACAGATTGTGTGTTACAGGTAGGAGTATCAGATGTTTGGGTTTGACAGGTCACCTGATTTTCCTCCCCCACCCACGACTCAAGGTGATAAAAGAAACGGATAAAAATACAACCAGGATTTATGCGCCATTCATGCAGAGAACACCTGTCAAACATCTTCATCTTGATCGTGAAAAGTTTCACAATACGGCGTTGGAGTTTAATTTATAGGACTCTGCACTGATGAGCACAATGTAGTCCCAGTACTCAGAGCAGGATGCCTTTTTTTTTTCATTGATTGGCAATTGATTGGAAATGGAAATAAGGAAGTCGTACTGAGGCTGTATTGATTTTCTTAGCTTCTTCTAGGCTTTCTGCTAGGGGGATTTTTTTTTTCTTCCCTGGTTGTAAATCTGTTGGAAATAGAATCATGGGGGTTATTTTGGTCTTTTTTGTTTATTCTATGCTTTTTATTGTAAAAAAACGTTAACTTTTTCCTGATTAAAAAAGATATTTAAGATCTGTAATCAAAACAGTTTCCCCGCCTGTACTAATAACACTTAATATTTAAATCTGTTTCTTTGATATCTATTTCGATGACAAAATCAAATGCAGTTTTTTCTTGTCTAAAACACTTATTCATTCCTGGTTCTTTGATATCTGATTTTTGAAATCTATTCTGGTGACAAAATCAAATGCAGTTTTTCATGTCTACAATAATGACTCAGCCCTTCATGCTGCCATTCATGTATTTAAGTTTAGTTTTTTTCCCTTCAAAAATACCAAACCATTTGAAAAGACAGATGGCACATTTGGCATCAAAATTCTATTTCTTTTTTAAATTAAAACCCAAATTATGATAATTGTATTTTTATTTTTGCTTTCAGGATCATTGATAATAATAATAATAATAATAATAATAATAATAATAATAATAATAATAATAATAATCAAGGAGAATTTTCTCAGATCAGTCATTCCCTAAAAAGAATAAAAATATTTACACGTTTTATCTTGTTCAAATATTAATTATGTGCTTTGTGCTGTTTAAAGTCCATCAGAGTTAAATGTCAAGGGTTGAGGAAAACGGGTTAATTGATGTTTTAACTTCACGTGAAAAACAGATGTCTTGCTGGATAGGGTTGGATATGGAAATTATTTTTCAAACAATTCACTTTTTTGAATATTTTGCCTTTTACAGTTTTACCATGTTCAGACACAAAGGACGATATACTTTTCTGAAACATTACTAAAATCTTAGAATATTTAAATCAACACTTGTAAGTATTACTAACAAAATAGTTCTGGGGAAATTTTTCACTCATGTTGGACAAATTTACTGAATAATTATTGCATGGCTTCACCTTACAAACAATTGCGTAATTTTTTGGCTTCACCTACGACATTTCCCTAGTAGAAACCAGAATCCATATCCATGAATATTCAGGTAACTATGGTGACTGTTTCCATGACAGTTTGTGCTCAAAATTCAGAAAATACAACAAAGGCCAAGCTCATTTTAGGCATCTGTGATATCCTTAGCCCTTTGCACTGTAGAAATGAGCATTTTACTTAAATGTAACAAAATTTTTATTTTTTCTGGTATATCCAACTCTTTTCCCTTAATCACCAAGATACA